AGATTGCTTTTGTCTTCAGGAGTTCCCACAGAGGCCCAAGTCACATGAGGATCAGATGCTCTCAGGCTTTCTCCAAAGGTCTGGATCCCTCCAGGAAAGATTTTGGCTTCAGGAATTTGGGGGTTGGACTGGCCTGGTAGCCAGGCCCAGGAAAGATCCTGGACTATGGCAGCTGGAGGTCGTGCCACCCAGAGATGCAAAGGAAGATGGGGGCAGGAGGTGGCTCCAAGGGCCCCTGGGCACTGCACTGAGGAGCTGGGTTGGTCTGGATGCAAAGGACCAGGAAGAGGAAAAGTCAGCCCTGGCATCCAGGAAAGAGGCTGGTGGGTTGTGCAAACCCAGGGAGGCAGAGAGAGGTGAGGGTGGGGCCAGGCCCAAACCACCCCTGGGGACCCGAGAAGGAACTGAGTTGGTCTGGATGCAAAGGATCAGGAAGCAGTGGTGGTTCCCCCAGGTGTCTGGGGAATGGGTCAGGGCTCAGGCTAGGAGGAGAGACTGGTGGGGGCGGGTGTTGTTGAGTGAGGCTGGGGGAGTCGAGGCGTGTAGGGTCCAATGGACTTACCCCAGAGAGAGAAGCCTGTAGGTTGGAGAGAGGGTTGGAGAGAGGCCTGTGGGTCCTGCAGGCCCAGGGAAGCAGAGGGGGGTGAGGGTGGGGCCAGGCCCAGAGTGCACCCAGGGACCTGGGAAGGAACTGAGTTGCTCTGGATGCACAGGATCAGGAAGAAGCAGTGGTGATTCCCCAGGTGTCTGGGGCGCCAAGACAAGGAATGGGACAGGCCCAGGCTAGGAGGAGAGACTGGTGGGAGAGATGGGAGGACGAGTGAGGCTTGGGGAGTCAAGGCGCAGAGGGCCCAATCAACTTACCCCAGAGAGAGAAGCCTGTGGGTTGGAGACTATTTATTGGTTTTTTGTTTGTTTGTTTGTTTGTTTGTTTGTTTTCTGTTTTGTTTTGTTTTGTTTTGTTTGAGGCAGGGTCTCCCTGTAGCCCCAGCTGGCCTGGCACTCTCTATGTAGACCAGGCTGGCCTTGATCTCCCTGAGATCTGACTGCTTCTGCCTCCCGAGTGTTGAAACTAAAGGTATGCACCACCATGTCCAGCCATTATTAATAGTGTATTAGTTGGCTTTCCATTAATGTAACAGAATACCATAGATAATTAACTTTAGAGCTGGTTTATTTTGGCCTGTGGTTCATGAGGTTTCAGTTTCAGTCGATGGTTAGTTGGCCTTATTGCTTGTAGGCTGTGGCAAGGTAGGGAGCATGTGGTAGGAAAAGTAGCTCAGCAGTTCACCTCACAGCTGGAATAGCAGAGTGAAGGGAAAAAAGGGGAAGGCTCAAAACCTCCATATCCCCCTCAAGAGCACACACCCAGTGGGGAGGACTTCTCACTAGGCCATCGCAAAAATTTCTATCACCTCCCAGTAGCTTTGGGGCTGTTCCTGATCCAAAGTGTAGCATGCGGTAAATGAGGTACACTGTTAAAACAAAAATTGTGTTGGGCCTGGTTGGTGGCTTATGCCTCTAATCCCAATACTCAGGAGGCTGAGGCAGGAAGATCATGAGTTCCAATCCAGGCTAAGCTACCTGTCTCAGCTCACCCCACTCCATCCCCCAAAAATTATTGGTTTATGTTCTCTCTACCCAGTAGTAACCACTATTAACACTTCAGAGTGGCCTGGAGTATGTAGCTCACCGCTAGAGTATTTGTGTAGAATATGAGAAGACAGATTCGGTCTTTAGCCCAGAAAGACACACATACACTTTAAAGTATTTCCTTTTTATTTTTTATCTAACTATAAATTTATCTAATACCAATCATATTACTTTCCTCATTGCTATAACAAAATACCTGACAAAAGCAACTTAAGGAAGGAAGGGTTTATTTTATTCTGGCTTACCATTTGAGTGCAGTCCATCATAGCAGGGAAGGGGTGGGCAGGAACTTGAGGCCACTGCTTACATTGCACCAGTCAAGAAACAAAGGGAGAGGAATGCTGGAGCCCAGTTCCTTTCTCTTTCTTATTTGTCTGACGGTCAAGGTGGTTTGTCCCACCTCATTTAACTTAATCTATAGATAATTCCTCATAGGCATGGCCAAAGGTTTGTCTCCTAGGTTAGTCTAGATTCTGTCAAGTTGGCAGTCAGTGCTAGCCATCACACTGGTACTATACAGTTTTGTCTGCTTCTTATTATATTATCCCATTTTTCTCTTAATACAGTTTTTGTGGGGTTTTTTTTTTTTTTTTTTTGGTCTTTTTGAGACAAGGTCTCCCTGTGGCTGCAGCTGGCCTGGATTTGCTAATGGAGACCAGGCTGGCCTCTGCTTCCTGGTGCTGGGATTAAAGGCTTGCACCACCACACCCAGCTAAGATTTTATTATTTTAATACTAAAATGCATTAAAAGTGTGGCTTGTTAGTAGTCCAGTTAGCACGTGTGCCGTATTTCCTTTAAACATTTCTTCTTGCTAAACGGTTTAGCTTCTATTTTGATTTGTGATAATTTTTTAAATCTTTTCAGTGTTCATCTCTTATATAAAATTTTGACCACATCTACTTCCACAGAATAGATTTCTCTAAGGGGAATTTGGGGCTCAGAGCAGTGAGCTGCCTTACATGTCAACAGTACCTCCTCTCCATCTCTGTGAAAGGCTCCTGTTAGTTCTGGATTGTCGTGCTCGCCTCATATCTGGTAGTTATAGGTTTTCACTGAACAAGCACACAAGAGTTCTGATGGTGTGGATACAGTGGGGTGAATTTCTTCTGATAAATAGCTTTTGAGTCGATATTCCTATGTGCCAGTGCTGCTTAGGATATTCAACAAGGATTCTTCCCTGCAGAAGCTTGTAATTTCTCTGAGCTTTTGTATACATACTCAAATAATTACCCTGCAAGAAAGACTGTGAGCCGTGGCTTATCTTGGTGAACAGCTTTCCATGAGGGAGCAGATGTGAAAGGCAGTCCTGGAAGGTGGTGACCCAGGCTTTGGCTGTATATTAACCTCTCTCAGTGGACAGCCTAGTGGAGGAGTGGGCAGTACATAAAACAAGCTAAGCCAGGCATGGTGGCACACGCCTTTAATCCCAGCACTTGGGCGGCAGAGGCAGACGGATCTCTGTGAGTTTGAGGCCAGCTTGGTCTACATAGTGAGTTCCAGGCCAGCTGGGGCTACAGGGAGACCCTGTCTCAAAAAGACAAAAAGATAAATAAATACATAATAAACAACAACAACCAAAAAAATGGGCTGACCAAATTCTCTTGACCAGTGCTTGGAAGTGCTGAGAATGGAAAATATTCTGGAATGGATGGAACAGACTAAGAACAGGGAGTGTGAAAGAGAAGCTAGGAAAGATTGATGGCAGGATCTTACCGGCCAGGGAAAGTTGTTAAGATTATTCTGTGGACAGTTGGGTCTGTGATGTGGTCAAAGTAGAGGTGACAGTCTTAAGGTGTAAGTGGCTGATGTGGAGGAAGAAAGGGAGTGAAATGCTAGGAGATGGCTTTGCAGTGGTTCAGTCCTAAGATAAGGAGTGAGGGTAAAGAACTGAAAAGGAGGGGCTGATTTGATCATTGGATGTTGGCACCTTCAAGATAGAGAACTTAAAATATACCTGTGTCTGTCTACTGGGAGAATGGGTGACCCTCATAACCAAGGTCCCGAAGGGGAAGGGTGGAGTAGCTGACATTCTCCTAGGAAATAGAAGGGATGTGTTTATTTATGATACTTAGGTGATGGTGGACCCCCTGAACACGGGAGATTACTCTGTGAGAAAAGCTGCTGAACACATTTATTAGAAATGTTTGTCATCTTGTGTACATATTAACACGTGTATTGAATTGTGTGAATGTGGCTTTTTAGCTGAGTGTGCTGAGGTGCCCCAGGTGGCAGAAAGAACACATCCCTATGTGACTTAATTTCTATTTTATGTACAGCCTTTTTTATATGGTGGTGTACATTTTTCTAGATCTATGTATCCATACACACACACACACACACACACACACACACACACACACACCTTTGTATATGCTTATCAAACAAGGCTAGCTTTCCTAAGGTGACCATACAGGCTTCTAACTAGTTTGGATGACCCAGGAGACATCTGCAAAGTAGCAGGACTGAGGACCTCCCAGATGCTTCTCTGGGTAAACTTCATTGTCTGTGGTATTGAGTGCTTGAGGCTTCTAAAGAGTTCAGACGATAATGGATGTGCTCTTTGGGGGTGGTCTTTCTCTGTCATCTTGAGCTGGGATGCTACTCTTTTCTGAATGATTCATTTAGTCCTGTTCCTCCTCCTTTTGATCAACAAACATTTAAGAGTTGATAGTGATTTTCAGTGAGTTAAGAAGTTTTATTTGGATGAGACACAGACATGTTTATAGCTACTACTACCAGAAGAAAAAATACTAAACTACAATACAGTACTTACCCCGTACCTTTTTAGAGTTATGCCTGAAGCAAAGTCATGTGTTCTTATTTTTCTATACAAGGGAGACTTCGAGTGTCTTCTGCTTTACTACTGGACACGAATATTTCCGCATGGACAGCCATTTTATTTTATGTATTTCAGGGAGCTGGCTCGTGAGAAGGTGATGCGGGAAGTGAAAGCCTTGGCCAAGCTGGAGCACCCAGGCATTGTGCGGTACTTCAACGCCTGGCTGGAGACACCCCCAGAAAAGTGGCAGGAAGAGATGGATAAGATTTGGCTGAAAGATGAAAGGTGACTTGGATAGACATAGGCCAAAGGGAATATTCCCTTTCAAACTAGCTTTATGCTACTGTGAACATAGTATCATTTCAAACTTACTTAGTGAGATTGGGGGGCCAGATGTCATGGCGCATGCCTTTAATTCCAGTACTTGGAAGCAGAAGCAGGTAGAGCTCTAAGCCAGCCTGGTTTACATAGCGAGTTCCAGGCCTGCTGGGGCTACAGGGAGACCCTGTCTCACCCCCCCACACACACAGATTTGGTTTACACTTTGTCAGCTTTTTTTCCTAAATTTTTTAAAGATTTTATTTATTTTAATTTTTATGTGTATGATTGTTTTTCCTGCATGTAAGTTTACCACATGCATGCCTAGTACCCGTGGTGACCAGAAGAGGGCATGGGATCCCCTGGAACTGGAGTTAAGGACAGGTGTCAGCTACCTTGTGGGTGTTAGGATCTGAACCCAGGTCCTCTGGAAGAGCAGCCAGTGCTCTTAACCACTGAGCCATCTCTCAGTAGCCCCCCCTTTTTTTATTTTTTATTTGTTTATGTGTATGAGTTTTATGCCTGCATGTGCGTAAGTCCACCTGTGTTATGCAGGGCCCATGGAGATCAGAAGAGGGCATCAAATCCCCTAGAACTGGAGTTACAGGTGGTTGTTAGCTGCCATGTGGGTGCTGGGATTTGAACCTGTGTCTCCTACAAGAGTAGCCAGTGCTCTTAATTAACCACTGAACAATCTCTCCGGCCCCTTTCTTTAATATTGATAATGTTCTGTGGATGATAAGGGACCCACAGTGGCTTTTCTCAATATGAAATACTGTCTGTTGTCACTGTCCATTCTGTTTTCAGAGTTTTTAATCAAGTTTTTCTCTTGGCAGAGAAGGGAATTATAAGTTTATAATTCCCTTTTATAAATAGTTCTAAATTCTTTGTTTTTAAAAAACACATCTACTTAGGTAGTCTGAAGATATTCTCTATTAACTATGGTGCTGTAGGAAGGAAGCCTTTTAAAAACTGTAATGAAGGCTAGAGAGATAGCATAGCCATTAAAGGCTAAGGCTAACAACCAAAACATGAAAAACCGTAATGAAAAATAGAGCACTGTGCAGAAAGACAGCTGTAGGAAAGCTCTTGCACATTGTTGGACCCCTAGAGGCATTATTGACACTTATGTAGAGTCAAGGACCAAGGAAAGTGGCCCCTAGTCTCAAGGCCAAGATGTGTATTCGTGTATTGCCTGCATGTAGGTAAGAGCACCCGTGTCGTGCAATGCCCACAGAGGTCAGGAGAGGCTGTCGGATCCCCTGGAACTGGAGTTACAGACAGTTGTTAGCTGCCATATGGGTGCTGGGATTTGAACCCATGTCTTCTGCAAGAACAGCCAGTGTTCTTAACCACTGAGCTATCTCTCCAGCCCCTGAGTTGATATAATTTGAACAGGAGCTTCAGAGTCGGTGCCACCAAGGAATTTTGTCAGGACTTCATGTTTTGTTCAAAAGGCTTACCCTGCTGTGGCTCGCAGTCCCACATAACTATTTGAAGTATAAACTTATGATTTCAAATGAAGATTTTGAAGAAGAGATGGGATGAGATGTTCTTTGTTTTATTTATATCATGTTTTATTTAGCCTATATGTTTTTGTTAAGTGTCTTTATAATAATCGAAGCATTTTAAACAGAGTGTAGACTAGATAACAATGCCATCATTCAACCCCTTATGTTTCTCCCACTTTTAGCACTGACTGGCCACTCAGCTCTCCTAGCCCAATGGAGGCACCATCTGTCAAAATTCGCAGAATGGATCCTTTCTCAACAAAAGAACATATTGAAATCATAGCTCCCTCACCTCAAAGAAGTCATTCTTTCTCGGTGGGGATTTCCTGTGGTCAGACAAGTTCCTCTGAGAGTCAGTTCTCTCCACTGGAGCTCTCAGGGGTGGACCACGGGGATGCAAGTGGGTCAGTGGATGCAGCCTACAACCTCCTGGACAGTTGCCTGGCAGAGTGCGATGTGGATGATGGTACTATGGATGGCAATGACGAGGGGCACTCCTTTGAACTTTGTCCCTCTGAAGCCTCTCCCTACACAAGGTCGAGAGAGAGAACCTCCTCTTCCATAGTGTTTGAAGACTCTGGCTGCGATAATGCATCCAGTAAAGAAGAGCCCAAAATGAACTGCCTGTATAATGGCAGCCATTGTGCTAATAAGCTAAGTGACTTCAAATACTCCAGCAGCAAATCTTCTTCCAAAGTCACTTTGTCCATCTCTCCTCCAAGGCCAACCACTTTAAGTTTAGATCTCACCAAGAACACGACAGACCAGCTCCAGCCCAGCTCTCCAAAGGTCTATCTGTACATTCAGATGCAGCTGTGCAGAAAGGAAAACCTCAAAGACTGGATGAACCGACGGTGCGCCATTGAGGAGAGAGAGCGGAGTATGTGTCTGCACATCTTCCTGCAGATTGCGGAGGCGGTGGAGTTTCTGCACAGCAAAGGACTCATGCACAGGGACCTCAAGGTCTGTAACCATAGGATGTCACCCTGGGGTTTCAGTGTGCTGTCTAGGGGCTCAGAGCAGAACTTACACTACCCGATAGAGTGGCAGAAACGGAGGTTTCAGGAAGCAGAGGTCTGAGACGGTAACGAGGAAAGGCCTGCTGTGAGTTGTCTCGAGCTTCAAAGGTTCAGCAAACTGCATTTTCCTCTATTACATGTTTATTGTTGTTTTACTATAAAAAGTGTTTCCGGTGGCCTTGGTGGGGAAAAGAAGAGTGGCTATGTGAAGTCCACCACGAGCCTTTATACCACATACTTTTAAGTGGTATTTTACTGCATTCACTTATTTAATGTACATGTGTATATGTGCATGCACACATGCCTTGGTAGTTTTATTTTATGGAACCATAAACTTTTGCTTCAGATCCTAAAATAGCTATAGCAAGTGTTCTAGGACTGGGGATGCTGCTCAGCTGGTAGAGGGCCTGCTTACATGCAGTGAGACCCTGGTTTCCATCCCAGCACTCTATAAACTTGGTCATGGTGGCACATGCCTGCAATCTCAGCCCTCAGGAAGTGGGGACAGGAAGATTAGAAGTTGTAGGTCAGTCTTCAGCTACATAGCCCGGGCTACATGAGACCCTGTTTTGTTTGTTTTGTTTTGTTTTGTTTTTTTTAAAAAAAAAAAAAAAGAAGAAAAAGAAGGGGCTGGAGAGATGGCTCAACAGTTAAGAACACTGTCTGCTCTTGTAGAGAACCCGGGTTTGGTTCCCAGCACCCACATAGTGACTGTCTATAACTCCAGCTCTAGAGGATCTGATGCCCTCTTCCGACCTCCAGTGCATTGAACTTCTATATACATCAGGGCAAATCACACATATACGTTAAATAAAAAATAAATGAAAAAAAATTTTAGAAAGAAAAGGGGGAAAAAATTATTTTCTTCTAAAATCATCATCAGTTGGTTTTTAAGTTCTTGAGTATGTTTTTAGAGTTTGGGGAGAATTGGGATAAGAATAGAAAGAATTCCTATGTTCAGTATTACCACTACTTAGTTATATGCACTTGCTATGCTTTGGTCATTTGATGTGGGTTCAAACTGGTTGCTATGGATTGTTCTATGCCAAATGAAAAGTTTAGAGATGAGTTCCTTTGGGTAGATTAGAGAAGACAACTTACAGGAAAGAGATACCTTCAGACCAGCCATTTGATGTAAGTATGGTAACCTTCCTCATTTGGTGGGAAATACTAGCTAGGGTGGACAGTCTTCCTGGGCTTACCACTCATGATGCACATACAGCAAGGCAAAAAAACAAGACAATGATGTCTTCACTAGTACTGATAGTCTGCTGATTGTATGTGAGCAAGATGTTGGTGGAAGACTTGCTTAATGCTAGATGTTGTTTGAAGGTTTGCATTTGTATATGCACCAGAAAAATTTCCAAGAAGAAAATTAATTTCCCTTTAGTGTTTTTTTTCAATATTTTAGTTATTATTTTTATTTTATGTGTATGCGTGTATTGCCTGCATGTAGGTAGGTGCACCTGTGTCATGCAATGCCTGTGGAGGACAGAAGAGGCTGTCGGATCCCCTGGAACTGGAGTTATGAACAGTTGTTAGCTGCCATGTGGGTGCTGGGATTTGAAACCAGGTCTTCTGCAGGAACAGTCAGTGTTCTTAACCACTGAGCCGTCTCTCCAGCTCCTCCCTTTAGTATTTCTAAAAAATTTGTTATTCCTTTTAAGAAACATTTCTTCTTCTTTTTTTTTTTTTGTCTTTGTGTGTGTGTGTGTGTGTGTGTGTGTCTTTTTTTGAGACAGGGTCTCCCTGTAGCCCCAGCTGGCCTGGAACTCTGTAGACCAGGCTGGCCTTGAACTCACAGAGATCCGCCTGCCTCTGCCTCCCAAGTGCTGGGATTAAAAGCGTCCGCCACCATGGCTAGCTTTCTTTTTAACTTTTATAGTGTTCTGACCTAAGTCTTTAAGCTCAATGCTAAACCTAGGCTCTTTTTCCCTCATGTTTTTGCTCTTGCAGAGGACCCAAATTAGGTTCCCAGCACCCACAGCGGCTCGCAACCATCTGTAACTGGAGCTCCAGGGGATCTGACCTCCAAGGGCATTGTATGCACACGATGCACTTACTTGCAGGCAGAACACTCATACAACATAAAATTAAAAAATTTTTTAAAGAAAAATGAACAAAATGTTATTTTCTGACAATGTTTGAAGCATGATGAGATTCAATTTTATGAGCTAAATGGCTTGCTTTCCTGTGTTTTAATGACTGTTCTATTACTTGTAGAACTTCAGACTCTGGGAGAAAGATGCTTTATTTCATGTAGGGAACCTTAAGTTTGAGGAGCCATAAAATATTTGGTTGGTTGTATTTAATATGAAATTTTGTATGGGAATTTGGAACTCAGAACAGGAGCCTGTCTATCTGTAGCCTTGGGAACACGAGGGATTTAGAAGCAGCAGCATAGCATAGCAGTTTATGAACTCTAATTTCTCTTGATGGTCTGTTTCTGCCTCTGAGACAGAAACCCAGTGGTTAGTGTATTTCACTCACCATCAGATAATGGTGATTACCACAGAGCAAGACTTATACTAAGTACTGGACATGGCAGCAAAGCCATTGAGCTTTACTGATGTGAAGTTTGGAGCCAAACTGCCTGGGTTTAAACCCTAGCTCCGTCATTTGCCAATGGGTAACCTTAGACAACCTGTTTAACTCCTGGACCTTAGCTTCTACATCTGTAAAGTGGAGGACAAACAGCAATCCTTGTCGGGTTGTGTTACATGAGTAATAGAATTAAACTGCTTAGACCAGCACTTGGTCCATTGTAACTGCTGTGTATGTGTTTGCTGTTATTACCATAATCATATAGTTATTGTGGCTTTGGTCATAAATGTAGAGAATATCGAATAACAAGATTGAGTATTAGGTATGCTGGGACATGGGGAATGTGGGTTCCTACGGGTTTAAGTAGACAATCAATTAAGTCCTTTTGTTTATCCTCAATACTTTCTGGCATAGAAAAACTATTTCTTTTTATATTGACTCACTTTCAATGGACATATATTTCAGAATACTTAGTTTCTTTTACTTATTTTCTGAAATCATTCACTTTCTCTCCTCCTTTGTGTATACTCACTGTATTGTTTTTTTTCTTATTTTCGCCAGCCTTCCAACATATTCTTTACAATGGATGATGTGGTCAAGGTTGGAGACTTTGGACTAGTGACTGCAATGGACCAGGACGAAGAAGAGCAGACGGTTCTGACCCCAATGCCAGCTTATGCCACACACACAGGACAAGTAGGAACCAAGCTGTACATGAGCCCAGAGCAGGTGAGTTTTTCAGACTTGTGGTTAGCTTGGTGGTGAGATAGCTGTGTCTACTGAATCTTCTTCCATGTTCTCATTAAAATACCCAGTAATATACAGTCTAAAAATTATGAAAGCAGCTGTACCACACAGACTACAATTCCAGCCTGAACTGGGGTTGGAATGAGGAAAATACAACATACAAAAACACACTCTGACCTCTCAACCAAAACCTGACAAGAAACTTTGAGTGACAGGTATCGTGGCTGACTCAGCAGTAATCTAAACAGTTGGGAGGCTGAGGCAGGAGGATTGCCATGAGTTCAAGGCCAGTCTGGGTTACAAAATGAGATGTGTCTCAAAACCAGAGAGAGAGAGAGAAGTTATCAAAATTCTGTTTGGACTTAAATTTCTTGATGTTTTTGTTTGTTTCGGTTTTCTGAGACAGGTTCTCATTATGTAGCCCAGGCTAACCTTGAGTGGTCCATCTCCTACCTCAGCCTCATTTGTTTTATTACATAAGCCTTCATTAATTAAGCACATGTGCCTTCTGCTCGGAAGGAGGTAGAGAGGAGCTATAGGGTTACATTGAAGGTTACTAGTTACATTGAAGCATCACCACGATTGATTTTAATAGTTTTAAATTTAAAAGATGATTTTCTTTCAGGCTAGAGAGATGGCTCAGCGGTTAAGAGCACTGATTGCTCTTAGAGAGGATCCGGGTTCAGTTTCCAGCACCCACATGGCAGCTAACAACCATCCATAACTCCAGTTCCAGGGCATCCAATGCCCTCTTCTGACCTCCACAGACATTACACATGGGTGCACTTACATACATGCAGGGGATACACTCATACACATAAAATAAAATAAATAATAAATTTTAAGAAAAGATAATTTTCTCTAGCAAATCTACTTCAGGAGAAGGAAATACAAATTAGAAAGGATGCAATAGAGACTTTAATTTATGACTCTTTTTCTCTCTCTCTCTCACTCTCTCTCTCTCTGACACACACACACACAATAGTTATTTGCAGTCAAAATATCCAAATTGACTTAAATAGAAAAAGAGAGCTGTGGATATAGCTCTGTGGTGAGTACTTGCCTAGTATAGGACTGTAGTTCAGTCCTCAGGACAGAAGAGACAGAGGGAGATCTGCTGTAAGTAATTGAACTGTCCTGATCAAATGATGTGGCCAAGACTTAGTGAAAGAAAGTACAAACTAGTGGAGTATTAGAATGCTCTAGGTATATATCTAAGTATCTATTTGTATCCCAAGGAAAAAAGACCACAAGAGCCATGAACTAGCAACAGTCTTTACTTCTGAGTGAAGGAACTTTGACTTTTAATCTATTTTGTACTTTTTCTTTACTTTCCTGTTTTTTCTATATCAGTATATACCAGAAATGATGTAAAAAGGTTTTTAATGGGATTTTTGAAAATTAATCATTGTTGAATGGGTTAGAAATAATATGATTGCACTCTATTGTGAAGACAAGTAGGAATGACTAGTTGTCTGGTTGGTGCTTAAGGAAGGGCTCATCACATGGAAAAGTTTCCTGACCGTGCTGGGTAGATTGGATGACCCTCCACATACTCCCCACTAGTGTGTACATCCCTGTACACTGCATTCGTGTCTAGCATTTTTAACAGTCTGAAATTATCTCCCCCCCCCTCTAAAATATAAACTATCAAAATTGGTATCTAGCCATGTGACTGAAAGCAGAGGGGGGCTTGTGGGAGGAGAGTGACAGGAGGAGGGCAGCTGGGAGTGGGGGGAGGGTCAACAAATGAAGCTTTGCTGATCTTCAGCTGGGAGTGGGGGCATCAACAAATGAAGCTTTGCTGATCTTTTAAAAAGTTAAGAAATTACTTTCAAATCATTATTGTCCATGAAGAACATAGAAAAAAATGTAAACACAAGAAATTTAAGCATGCAAGATGAAGATATGCAAGAATTTCAGCATTCTAATAATTCCAAATAACAGTATTTATATGGATGTTTACAAAGATGGATGGATAATCATTACCATGCAATAAGTGATTGCCTGGCTTCTCATTTTTCACCATACTCTCCAAAGCAACGCCTGGATTCCCACAGGTGTTAGTTCATGTTTTGTGGGTGACTTGAATGTGAATGCCAGTGAAAAAGGAAACACCAGGGCTGGCAAGATGGCTCAGCTGGTAAAGGTGCTTGCCACCAAGCCTGACAACCTGAGTTCAGTTTCCTAGGACCCACATTGTAGAAGGAAAGAACCAACCCCCTCACGTTGTCCTCTGACCTCCACATATGTCCCATGGCACATGTATGCCTACACATATACATAAGGGCACACACATACAGAAAAAGAGATAACTATAATTTTTAAAGGGGGAAATTTTGTTTTTGTTTTTGTTTTTTTGAGACAGGGTCTCCCTACAGCCTCAGTTGGCCTGGAACTCACCATGTAGACTAACCTGGCCTTCATCTCGTAGAGCTGCATCTGCCTCTGCCTCCTGAGTGCTGGGATTAAAGGCCTGTACCACCACAACCGGCTGAAAAATTTTTTTTATTTTTTTTTTTAAGAAAAAGGCAGGTGGATCTCTGTGAGTTCGAGGCCAGCCTGGTCTACATAGTGAGTTCCAGGCTAGCTGTAGCTTCAGGGAGACCTGTCTCAAAAAAAAAAAAAAAGATGTCCTTTGAGGTTGGAGACAATACTCTAGTTACTGCACAGCCTGCTGCCCTCTTGTGTCATATTCAGTCACCTGTTCTTCAGAAAAATACATAAACATCCCTTTAAGCAGTGTCTCAATTTCCACAGATTCACATATTAAATTAATAAATATATATCCAAAAATTTAAATCTCACAATACATAGAATATATTATAATCATGTATTAATAATGCTTTATTCTCTTTATATATTACTCTGTCCTCTATGTAGGGAAATATGGAAATATGTAATTTTTAACAAACACTGAAAATGTCTAAAATATTATTTACATCTATATAAAACAAAAATTGTTTTGTTGGATAACAAAATTGAGAATCTGCTCCATAAAACTTTGCACACAGTGTTAGACTGCAAGCATTTCTGTGTTGATGAAACCTCTCAGTGCCCTTGCCTCACATCCACTTGGTTCAGATGCTCAGTGCTTGCTTCAGACATTAAAACTGTTTGTAAATGTTGCCATTAGGACTGTCACTTAGATAACTCTCCCTGTACCAACATCTGTCCCATTTCCACCCATTCTGGGGTGGACAAAATTAGATGGAACCATCACATGGGATTAAGCATTGACTATTTCCTGTGAATGAGTCCTTTTAAATAGTGTGTGTGGATGTCCTTTTCACTTTACCTCTGTAGGCATTGTCTTTGAACACATTTCCTTTGGCTCTTTCCTGGCCACAGGGAGGGTAAGGGACCTTGCAGATAGATTGATACATCTCTAGACCTTTCTACCTGCTGTTCTGTGAGCACAAACAGGCCAGCTGTATAGAAGGAATCAGAGGCAGATGCCAAGTTGGTATAGAGAGGTGGGGATGGGCTCAGATAACCCTGACTACTGCCTTGTACCACTCAGCATCTCCCCTCTCCCTTCCTTAGTCAAGCAGTTTTGAGGTAGAGCCATTTCCAAAGTGATCCCCTTCTTTGGCTATTTACCTGATGGCTAGTAACAGGCCTAAAGAGACATTCACAGAATGAAAGGCTTTCCTGAGGCAGCAGGAGGTCACTCTGAGTTTGAATGAGGCTTCCCTTAATAGAGCAGTTCAGTTGTGATTCATTTGTTCACTTTGCCAGGCATTTATTGAGGGCCTTCTCTCACCCAGTGGTAAATGAGGGGAAGGGAATAGACCTGGGAAGAATAAGAAATATGCACATGAAAAATACAGCTATGCATGCAAAGTAGTCTGCAATTAAGTGCTGTAATGAAGGCTAACCACAGTTGATTAGTGGTTTGGAGTAATGAAGATTTTCTCATAAAAATGGCTGAGGACTAAAGTGATTAGAAATGAGATCTGCTTGAGATAGTGTCACTTTGAAAAACTTTACCTCAGGGGGAGCTGAGCAGCTTTTACTGGCTCCAAGGCACCAGGCTCCAGGTTTCTGCCCTGCCTACTTTGCTGATGCATATCTCAGAGCCATACCTGGGCTTTCCCTCTGTAATGCTGAGTAGTGTAATTACACCTGCCCCAGTGGAAGAGGGGAGGGAGGACGGCTGGGGAGGTTAACTCTTTGCTAACATTTTAACACTCACACAGAAGCCAAGAAGTAGCTAAGTAGACTGGGGTTGGGTAATACACTAATGTCAGCTGTGCTCCCTCCATGATAACTTTCTACATTTTATGTGGTCTTTCAGATTCATGGAAACAACTACTCCCACAAAGTAGACATCTTCTCCTTAGGGTTGATCCTGTTTGAATTGCTTTACCCATTCAGCACTCAGATGGAACGAGTCAGGGTAAGTACATCTTTCCCCTTAGAAGGCTGAAAAAGAAAATCATCCACAATTTGCAAGAGTTTTTTCAAAATGAGTAAGTTTATTCTTAATGCCTCTACACTAATTAACTAGAAGCAACAGGTGTCATGTGAACAATGGGGAGGATTTTTAGACTGTTTTCTTAAAAAAATAAAGTTCCTTGTTTTGGCCTACAGTCATCATAATTTAACAGTACTTTGCCCTCAGCACCTTTATGGTCAGAAGAATCAAAGCGTAACCAGAGTTAGGGAAGGGATTAGTAGTGGCAGTTGGCCAGAGAAACTTGTTCCTGAGGACTAGTGGCTGCACATTAATATACTTAAAAGCTGGCAAATTACAGAAAGCTAGGGTTTGCTTTTTTCCCCCCTTCTCAGAATAAAAGATGACCATAGCTTTTCATGCAGACACTGCTCAAGGCTTTTTAAAAGTAAGCCTGTCCGGGGTTTGGGGAGATGTCTCAGTGGATAAGAGCATTTGCTATGCATATATGAGGACTTAAGTTCAAATCACCAGTACCCACATAAAAAAGCCAGATATGGTCATGCATACCTATAACCCCAGTGCTTGGGGGCTGGAGACAGGCAGATCTGGGAGTTCACTGGCTGGCCAGCCTAGCTTCAGGGGTCAGTGAGAGACCCTCTCGCAAGTAAATAAGGCAAAGAGTGATAGAACAAGACACATAATGTCATCCTCTGGCTTCCACGAGCATGGGCACAGACCTATACATACACTACACACACACACACACACACACACACACACACACACAAAATAGTATTTTTTTTTTTTTCCTTAGAAAGTAATCCTGGGGGCTAGAGAGATGGCTTAGTAGTTAAGCACTGGCTGCTCTTACAGAGGACCAGGCTTTGCCAGCACCCACATGGCAACTAACAACCATCCATAACTCCAGTTCCATGGAATCTGATGCCCCCTTCTGCATGACATGGGTGCACTTACACACATTTTTTTTTTAAATAAAATATTTTTTTTAAAAAAAGTAATTCTGTCGTGGTAACCCTCAGCTCCTCCTCTTGTCCTGATACAGACCTTCTTCCCCAGTGCTCACTCTTGTCACCTTGTTAACTTACCCATTTTAGATCTGCCTGTTGATGTCTGACCTTGGTAACTAAGAATGAAGTTGTCAGGGGTGGAAAGATGCTCACTGATTAAGAGCGCTTGTTTCTCTTCCAGAGCACCCAAGTTTGGTTCATAGCACCCATGTTAGGCAGCTCAGAGCTGCCTGTAACTCTAGCTCCAAGAGATTCAATTCCTCCAAGGGAACCCATATACATAAATTTAAAAATAAAATAATTTTTTTTTTAGAGTTGTCATATAGAACCGAAGGACATATATATATCTTCTAACTGAAAGCTACCAAGTGTTCTGCACAGTAAATGAAGTAAAAGAAAACAGTATATGTACATAATTCCAAAGTTAAGGGCTCTAAAACATTCCAGAAAGGAAAATTAAACAGATACAACCTAAGTAAAGAATCAAGAACCCGGGGCTGGAGAGATGGCTCAGGGGTTAAGAACACTGTTCTTGCAGAAGACCTGGGTTCGAACCCCAGCACCCACATGGCAGCTAACAACTGTCTGTAACTCCAGTTCCAGGGGATCCGACACAGGTGCACTTACCTACCTGTAGGCAATACACGCATACACATAAAATAAAAATAATAAATAAAATATTTTTTTAAAAAAAAAGAATCAGGAACCCAATGGTGTCAAAGTCAGTGGAGTTATGCGTGCATCCAAGAGTACTATTGAAAACATTAAAGGTGGGCTGGGTGGTAGACTAGTAGCTCGCATGTGTGAGAAAGAGATGCTGGGACAAAGTAAAGTTATAGACTAAAGCGCTTTTCCTTCTCTTTTAGACCTTAACTGATGTAAGAAATCTCAAGTTTCCAACACTGTTTACTCAGAAATATCCCCGTGAGGTATGTATAATTCTCATCCCTTCTTTCTTTAAAATCATGTTTAGTATTTAAATGGTTCTTAAAGAGACCCTTAAAGGCTCCTTATCAGTCAGTCTAGTCGGTTTCCTCATTTTACAGATGAGGCAGCCAGTGTCTAGAGAGTAAGGGACCTGCTGTTCGAAGCACACAGTTTGTTAGGACCTCCTCAGTGCAGCCTGTGGAGGTGAAGGCTGCCCTCCTGAACCCTCACCTTGTAGGACTGTAGGAGCCACCTTTACAATCAAGCCGTTAGTACCTCTTTTTGTTGGTGAGCTGGCTAGAGATCTTTAAAAATGGCTTATCTTTAAACACAAGGTCCTGATTGTTCTTGAATGTTTGAGAGTTAGGCCACACAGGAAATGGTTCAGAAGATTAGGAAGGAAAAATTAAGCTGGTGTTCATGTTAAAAATAAAGTGTGGGGCTGGAGAGATGGCTCAGCGGTTAAGAGTACTGGCTATTCTTGCAGAAGACCCGGGTTCAAGTCCCAGCACCCACATGGCAGCTAACAACTGTCGGCTATAGCTGCAGTTCCAGGGAGTCCAACACCCTCTTCTGACCTCCATGGGCACTGACATACATGCAGGCAATATACTCATACACAAAAAATAAAAAGAATAACAAAAATATTTTTAAAAATAAATGAAATGTAAAGAACTTAAAAGTTTTTTCTTCAACTCTTTTCCATAATATGTGTATCCACAAGCTTATAATCGTAATTATTTACACATTGATAAATCTTGAATGTTAAATTTTGTGTTGAGATCATTGTAGATATATATGTGCAGTTTTTTAGGATGAATTTATTTTTAAAATCAAATGGTGTCTATGCTTCAAGGATGTGATTTTAAAACCTTTTATTCTGTTATAACAAACACCAATTAAAGCCTGCTCTATATAGTGAGTTCCAAGCCAGCCAGGGTATATAGTTGAGGCCCTGATTCAAAATAAAACAAAACAAAACAAAACACCAATTGCATCCAAATTGTTCCTATGTGTTTGAATCGGGGCTAGCATTCAAGGGCTCACAGGTCAGGGCCAGCCTGCTGCCTATTTGTAAATCAAATTTTGCAAATTCATTTATTTATTTTACATTTGTATGTGTGCATGTGTATATGCATGTGTACATGTATGCATGCTCCACAGTGCACATGAAGAGATCAAGAGGACAACTTGTCAGGAGTTTGTTCTCTCCTTCCACCATGTAAATTCCTGAGTCAAATACTGTCATTGGGTTTGGCAGCAAGTTCCAGTCCATGTTGCCTTTTTGTATAATAAAATTTTATTGGTAGGCCAGGGAAATGGCTCAGAGGGCAAAAACACAAGCATGAAGACCCAAATTTGAATCCCCAGTACCCACAGAAAAAGTCAGATGTAGCTGTTCCCATACCTTTAGCCTCATCACTAAAGGGGGCTGAGCCAGGAAGATCCTGGAGCTTGCTGGCTGCCAACCTAGCTCCACGTTCAGTGAGAGACCTTGTTTCAAAGGAGTAAGACAGAGAGAGATAGGACAGGGTACCAGGATCCTCCAGGTGCTCATGAATATGCACCCCTGCACAAACACACACACACACACACACACACACACACACACACACCAAAAAAAAAACAAACAACTTACTGGAGTACAGCCATGCTCTTTAGTTTGCATAATCTAGGGCTGCTTTGGAGCCTCCATGACAGAACTATGTCAGAAACTATATGGTTCACACACACAAGATACTTACCTAAAAGTTTTGCTGGGACTAAGAGTATAGCTAAATGGTAGAGCATTTACCAACCACCTTCAGAGCCTTGGGTTTGATCCCCAGCACTGCAGATAAAGTTGTACACGGATGTGTGAGTGTCTGTGTCTGTATATGCATGTATATGTGTGTCTCTGTGTGTGTGTGTGTGTGTGTGTGTGTGTGGTCTATTTTTTTTTTTCTAATCCCTGATTTCAAGGACTGCTTAGTAACCTAAATCTGTCCCTCTTGTCACAAAACAATTTTTATATTTCAGTATATTATGGTTCAAGACATGCTCTCTCCATCCCCCATGGAACGACCTGAAGCCACAAACATCATTGAAAATGCTGTATTTGAGGACTTAGAGTTTCCTGGGAAAACGGTTCTGAGACAGCGGTCTCGCTCCATGAGTTCATCAGGAATAAAGCATTCAAGACAGCCCAGCAGCTCCCACAGCCCTCTGCCCAACAGTTAGCCTTCAGCTATGCCAGCAACCCCAACAGGTGACACAGAGCAGCCACCTTGAGGAACATGACTTTCCACAGTGGTGGACTCAAAATTTTTATTTTTATTTGATCAATTTTATTTGGGACTGATTTTTAACCCAATTTGATTTTTACTGTTCTTATTGGAAAGGGCTATGTAAACGACATGAGAGCTTGTTCTTTGCTGGTCTCCTGAAAGTAGCTGCCAAGCTTTGTAGCCCTCACCTTTTGCCTCGGAGGTAAAAGCAGCCCCTGAAATAGAGAGATTTAAAATGAAAATGTTTTTATAGCACAGAGGAATAAAATCCCCTCCCACATGTAATTATGTTGTTCTAGAAATATGCTTTCTAGAGATACAGTGATGATTTGGAACTGATTTCTAGAAAAGTTGATTCCACTTTGTCCCTGGTGATAAGGACCCAGCTGCACTACTTTGGACAAGTAGCACAAATAGTATAGTGGTTTTTAGTCTTATTTGTAGCATTAAATATCCTTAGGTGGTTTTAGGGAGGGTTTAAGAGCTTGTGGTACCATTTGCCTCCAGTAAAGGAGAAAGGAAGCTTTTAGGTAAATCAGTCAGAAGTTCTGGTTTGGAGAGGAGGGAAAAAAAAAACTTTAATAAGATTTAATAAGAAATCGATCATCTATTACAACTAACTTCTTCAATTACGGAATTTTCATCCTAATAAGATCTTAAATGTCTTATATACAATCCTATAGGTGGGTACATTTCCCCAAACTGATCATAGATAAGTTTAATCATCTCAGTTGCTAACATGTTTTATTTTGCCCTGTAAATATGTTTATTTTTATTTATAAAAATTCCAAAATCAATCCATTTGGATTGGTGGTGTACAGAACACACATAAGTGTGTTAACTATTATGACTTCTTTCAAGTCTAAATGATTTAATAAAACTTTTTTAAATTATACTTGTGGTTGACTCTTGTTTGGGGGAGTTTAAATTGATAGGTTTTCTAACGTACAAAGTGAGATTATGCCAGGCATGGTGGCACCTACCTTTGATCCCAGCAGAGGCAGGCAGCTCTCTGTGAGTTCAAGGCCAGCCTGGTCTACACAGTGAGTTCCAGACCAGCTGGGACTATAGGGAGACCCTATCTCAAAAAACAAAACAAAAAAAACCAAAGTGAGAACATGTCTCTGAAACATCATATGCCGTACTCTCAAGAAAACATTTAAGCTGTACAAGACAAGTGTCTTTCTTGTTATTTCCCAAGGACTTGACAGGGTCTTCCCTGCCAAGCCCAGTGACATGAGTTTGATGCCCAGGACCCACATAGTAGAAGGAGAGAACCAACTCCCTCAAGTTGTCCGACCTCCACACGTGCCCTCTTACCTACATATACACACACTAAAATCTTTTTAATTTCTTTATGTTTACAGGAGTCACAATCAAAAGATATGTTCAGTGCCCTATCCCAGTGCCAGGGAGTGGGATATAGAGGACTTTATCCTAAAGCGAAAACTCACAGAGAAGAGATGTATTGCTAATTGGGTTGATGTCGTGTGTCCCAAATGTGTCTGTCTTAGTTTCTTTTCCTGTTGCTGTGGAAAATCACTCAGACAAAAGCAACTTAAGGGAGAAACTGTTTATCCTGACTCACGGACTCAGGGCACAGTCCGTCATAGCAGGGACAGCAAGGCAGCAGGAGCTTGAAGCAGCTGGTCACATCACATCCACAGTTCTCCATTTCATAAAGCCTAGGAACACTGCCCAGGGAATAGTCCCAGCCACAATTAAGATGGGCCTTCCCACATCAGTTAACCTGATCAAGACAGTCCCCCACAGGCATGCCTAGAGACCCATCTCCTAAGTGATTCTAGATTCTGTTAAGTTGACAACACCATCACAGTACCCTGTGAAAGCATGCAGCACTTTGGGCTGATAGGCACCAGCTAATCACAGCCTGTAATAGTTTAGAAATGAAGTGTGTACATCAAAGGACTTGTATGTCGAAGACTCAGTCTCGGTGTAACGTTCAAAAGCAGGGCTTTGGGGCTTTGAGGAAGTGATTGGCTCATGAGGCACTGACCTAATCAATGGGTTAATCTGCTGATGAATTCTGTATTAGTTACTTTTCTGTTGCTGTGATAAAACACTGACCAAAACCAACATATGTGATAAATATCCCCCTTTCGCTTTTTTGAAGCAGGGTCTTGCTCTGTAGCCCGGACCGGCCTCTACCTTGCAACCCTCCTGCCACAGCCTCCTGAGTATCAACAATTACAGATACGCAGTCTTATGCCTGACCATGTATCTATACAACTGAGCTTCTCAGGCTTCCCTGGCAAAACACTGGCAAAACATTAGCACATGGAAAGCCATTGAAGTTTTGAGTTGGGGGACAGCAGGAGGAGAGATTTTAAGGTCACATGGTCAATGACAAAGTAGATTGACTAGAGGAAAAAAGACCTGGGACAGGAACCAAGCAGGAGGCCATAGCCTTTAACTCATCGTGAAGCCAGAAAACCTGAGCCAGGTCAGTGGGAGCCGAAAGACATCCTTGACCAGTCACTAAATGTGTGCTGAGCCCCACAACCCTGAACTGGACCCCTGCGACAGCTCCGTCAGTGTTGAGTGCTGAGGGATTTCATAGGGTACTATGGCAGCTGGGGTGAATGGCACACGGTTTTAGAAGCATCCACTGCCTATGTGAGTTTGGCTTTTAAAGCATGCCCAGAGAATACCTGGTTGGCATAACCTTGGCCCCAGTAGCTCTCTTGTCAGCCTCGAGCATGAATAAGGATTGTAGCTGTGTGTATAGACCCAGAACTCTGGGGCCTTCCAGGAGGGCCCTGAGGGATTTTTCACTAGGCAGAACCATTGCAAACCCTCAGAGGGCAGGAGAGAGTTTGATATTGAGAAGTAATGAAGGAGAAGAGGGATCATCTCTCCCCAAGGGCCTTCTGAACTACTGAATAGAACAGCTGAATGAAGGTCCATTCACACTGCACAGTCAGCAGAAGTGGAATTGTGAATAGTATTTTAGGCAGATAAATGATGAACACACACAGCAGAGAAGTGGAACAGCACGGTTGCAGTCAGACAAAATAGCTCTCTATAAATGGGATTTTCTCAAGAATAAAATGTTTTCAGAGGAGCTACACCCAAACCTTGTGGTAGTTGCCTTGGGATAGACTTCTTTCCAGTGATGGAACAGCTTTGTGATTAATTTGTGTGTGTGCTTAGAGTATGCACTCTACCACTGAGCTATACCCACAGCCCAATAATATCAAATTAACAAAATAAGACAAAAGGAAACCAGATTCAAGTGTGGTGGCTCTCACCTGAAATCCTAGCACTTGGGGAGTGGAGGCAGGAGGATCATAGCTTGAGGCCAGCTTGGACTACAAAGAGATTTTTGAAGCCAGCTTGGGCTGCATGAGGTCCTGTCTCAAAAAAAAACAGGAAAAAAAAAGGAGGGAGGGAGGGAGGAAGGAAGGAAGGAAGGAAGGAAGGAAGGAAGGAAGGAAGGAAGGAAGGAAGGAAGGAAGGAAGGAAGGAAAGAAGGAAAATGTTTAAAGTATCTTCCGTGATCTCATATTTGTAGTTTATAGAATTTGACATGATCTGTAATTGTACTGGGGCTTTTGTAAACCTGTTATTTTCATTGCTGTTTACATTCCAGGCAACAAAATGAAATAGCTAAAATAAGTACAGTAACATAATGGTAAGCTTGCAATAATCCACTTATTCCACCACCCATATTTGCATAGCAAGTCTGGCTTCTCTCCAGTGCCAAGGGCATTTTTCCAGGCATGACAGGTGACAGGACAGCATCTGGCTTTGGAATCACAGCCTCCAGCAACAGACTTCTTGTTTACAATTCTCCTTCAGCTCTTTTTTTTTGTCTTTTTGAGACAGGGTCTCCCTGTAGCCCCAGCTGTCCTGGAACTCATTATATAGACCAGACTGGTCTTGAACTCACAGAGATCTGCCTGCCTCTGCCTTCTGAGTGCTGGGATTGAAGGCGTGCGCCACCACACCTGGCTCCTTCAGCTCTTTAGCTCCCCTACTGCAACAAACACATGGTAAAAACTAAAATAAAATATTTTCGCTTTAGCATAGAATCTCAAAAATAGAATTCAGTAGAGACTCAAAATGCAGTCACAAGTTCACTTTCTTCAACAGTCTCGTGGTAGAGTTGTGAGGATTTGATGACAAAACCGTGGATTACACAGTCATACCAAAATGCATACATGTATGTAGAACTGTGACTACGCAGTTGGATCTCACAGAAAAGCAGAAAAGGAACCCACGGCTCTTCACACTGATTTTTCTCAGGTGGAAAGCATAAAAATGAAGAAAAAAGGCCGGGTGTGGTGGCGCACGCTTTTGATCCCAGCACTTGGGAGGCAGAGGCAGGCAGATCTCTGTGAGTTCAAGGCCAGCCTGGTCTACATAATGAGTTCCAGGACAGCTGGGGCTACAGGGAGACCCTGTCTCAAAAAGACGCCCCCCCAAAAAAAAGAAAGAAGAAAATTGATTGGTAAAAGCCAGATGTGGTGGTATACACCTTTAATTGCAGCACTAGGTGGAAAAAAACAGGCGGATATCCATGGGTTCAAATCCAGCTTGTCCACATAGTAAATTCCAGGCCACCCAGGGCTACATAGCGAGACCATTAAAAAGAAGGAGAAGAAGAAGAGAGGAGGAGGAGGAGGAAGAAGAGAGGAGGAGAAGGAGGTCATTCACAGAGGAGGAGGAGGAGGAGGAAGAGGAAGAGGAAGAGGAGGAGGAGGAATCTAAACTGGAGCCACATAGTCAATAATGTACCTGACAAGACTGGCATTTTTTTGAGTGGGTGACACCTGTTATGCAATAGTGAAAGTATGGTTATTTGTTATTGAAGTAGTTAAAAAATATCCCTGTCAGATGAGGGAGTAGGGTGGTATGGGGAGATGGCTGGGAATGCCTTCTTCCTTCTGGGACTTTGACCTTAGGCTACACAGCCATGGGGTAGCTGGTATGAGAGTCATCCCTCATCTGACTCTGCCTGTGGGGAGTACATACTACTTATTGGTCCCAGTCCACCCCATGACTGGGGAGATCTCTTTCCAACTTTGCTTCAACATTACAAACTCAGACTCTGAGGATACCTTTTTTCCCTTTTTCATACTGGGAATTGAACTTGGGACTTTGAGCATGCTCAGCAAGCATCTACCACCGAGCTACATCCCAGCTCTCTTCACTTTTTTTTTATTAGAGACAGGGTTTCATTACGTTGCCCACACCAGCCTTGAACTCACTCCATAACCCAGCTGGGCCTTGAACTTGTGATTCTCTTGCCTCAGCTTCCTGAATACCTGGGATTACAGGTCTGTATCACTAGGGCTCTGGAAACTTTTTAGCCCATGCTTCATGTCATAGCTCTTGTCTTTCTTCTTTGCTTTATTTTTCTCCATTCCACTTAGAACCTTCCAAAATATTCTTTCTTATTTAATTTATTGCCATTTTCCCTAACTAGAATGGGATCTCCTTTTATCATTAATTCCATTCGTCTATATTCTCAGCTTATAATTTGCTTGTCAGGCCCAGTGTGGTGGCCCATGCCTTTAATCCCAACAGGGACAGGGTTAGATCTCTGTGAGATCAA